AAGTAAAGACAACCTGGAAAGTATTCGTTGTAGATTCAAACACAGTGCTGTTCAAACACACCAATAGAATGTCATAACGACTTAGGACTTAAACATTAAAAACCTTTAGTATTTCCAGTAAATCTTGTTTTGTGGGATTTCATAGGTGAAGTTTCCTTTAAATGGTACTAAATAAAAACCAGAAAGTCAATGATTTGAAAAGCAAAGCCATGAACAAGAGTAAAATTATTCCAGCTAAGTTTAATTTCATATCCATAAACATATACCTACTCACAACTTTACCCTCTTGATGTATCTTAATTTTTATTGACATACAAAACTAACCAAACAAACAAACAAAACCACCCAAAAAATCCCCAATAAACCAGTAGATATTAGAATTTAATTCCGAGAGTTGGAGTTACCAACTGACCAGAATTAGCTTAATATGTAAAACTAAATACACCTCTCCGAGTCTGAGTTCAAATTGTCTCAGGTTTTCAGGATCTGAAGAGGAATATAAAAAAATACCTATTGAAATGTGGAAATGATTGCTTTCTGCACGTAACTTTTTAAATCTCTCAATTTTGTGTTGCGTGTAGAACATATAGCCATATGTATATGACAGTTATTTTTGTTTAAAAACAATATATATATACATTTTTTTTAAAACACAGCACAATTCAAACTTAGCAGGAAAATGTTAATGTTTTTGCATTATTTAGTCCCAGTATTGCCAAGAAGTCTGCCCACACAGAGTCCCAACAGATGCTAAACATATAGAAAGGCTGCCAAAAGCTGAAAGCATTGCGTAGTCTCCATCTCACATTATGTCATTTAAATGCAAGTGTTAATCTTTGCCTAGTTTATTGAAATCTACTAAGCTGGGAAAAGGAGATTCCATTTTAGTAATGTTTCAGACTCCTGAAATCTTTTTTTTTTTTCATGTATGTTAACTAATTTCCATTAACTTTTAGTTTGTAATGTTACTTAAATTTGGTTAAGTAAGAATAACCAGATTTAAAGGAAGTCCTGGAAAAATAAGTCTTTGCCTTTGCTTCATATATATATATATATATATATACACATATATATATATAAATAATACTAGCTGATTTGCCAGAAGTCTGTAGAGGCTTTAGAACTCATAGAAGACTTAAGGATGATTAAGATAAAATGTTGTCCACATAAAATAAATATGAAAGATGGATGCATGTTCTGCACTTTCACTCGTCAGTAGTGGGAATATGCTGGTTGAAATTCACTGAACATACTGATAATTTGAACTCTTTGTCAAAGACTTTAAAAACTGTTTACTGTGCAAAACTGTCACATGAGTAAAGATATCTAGGAATATTAGAACTTCTATGCCCTCTAAAATATCATATGTAATATTTCTGCTTAGTGAACTGTAGAAAACATTGATGATCTAATAAGGCTTAATACAAATATTCTTTTATAAATCACCCTAAACTGGAATGCAGAAGTCTTAAATAAAAATTATTCTTTTATACTTGTTTAAGGAAATGGTTATAAAGAGAGGGTTAAAACTCAGTGCAGATTTTTTTCCCCCCCCCACTTTCAGTTTGGATGGGAATGTTCCCTCCTTGTATCTAGCGCAAAGAATATACTTCACACCCTCATTCAAGCAAAACTCTACTGAGGATAAATTTTGTGTGCCACAGAATCACAGAAGGGCTGAGGTGTCCCATCGGGTCCTGCGGAAGCGTTTGGTTCAATATACCCTTAGTTAATCCTTCATTATTTAGGGTGTCTTAATTTTTCCGTGCAGAGTAAAAACCAAGGCAGAGAAGGCATTGAGAACCTCGGCCTTCCCTGTGCCCTTTGTCACCAGGTCCCCTGCCCAATTCATCAACTGATCCATGTGTTTCTTTCCCATTCTGCGTGTTGCCCTCAGTATAACTGCAGAAATCCTCCTTGTTGCCTTTTATTTTCCTCGCCAGATTCAGCTCCAGATGGGCCTTGGCTTTCCTATCAATTTCTAATTAATTCTGTATTGTTTCTTACAATGTAAAAAAGGTGAAGGTTTCCCTCTTTAGCTAGTGTCTTCAGATTTCTGAAAACTGAAATGCAGTTAGTTGTAGTCAAAATGGCTACATGTAGAGAATGGCTGTTTCTGAGGACAAGCTTCCCCTCTTTATGAAAGCAGTTTTTAGCAGCTTCAGTTTCTTTCTGTGAGAAAAGCTTTGTGATTCCTTGGAGTTCCCGTGTTAGATATAGGAGAAAGCATATTTTAAACTGGATAAAACTGATAAGGAGAAAGATTTTTTTCAGATGGTTCCAGCAAAATGAAAAAGAGAAACTGTAAAGCCAAGTCACCCTTTCCTAAATCTCAATGTTATAGTTGTTAGATGACATCACCTTTGGCAATAATAGTTGTAAAATATATATGTAAAATGCTAGTTGCAAGTTACTCCAAAGGTGTTTTGCAGAACATGCCCTGGAAGCAGGGATTTAAGAGGTAATAGAAACACTTGACAACTCTTAATGAAAGCAGTAGCTTGAAAATCACACATTTCCAGGCTTTTGAGTGTGGTGTTGTAAGGCTTTCAAAAACTAAGAGAGGTTCACTAAAGCGTTCTTTTTGCATTCATGTTCTTGTGAATTGAAATGAGCTCGTTTGCCTGTCTTGTAGAAGTAAGTGTTAGCAGAGAGGCAAGTGTTGAAAGAAACAACAGCAAGTTCAAGCAGTGGTGAATGCAGAAGCAGTAGGACTTGTTAGATGAAACAGAGAACTTGGGCTCCATGGCCTGTTTTGCAAGAATGTATAAATATTAAAGAATGCTTAAAGTGATGTAATGGAACAAGTAGCCAGAAAGGTGTCCTCCTGGATTTGGTTTCCTAGCAAATGCAAAACCTGAATTTTATTTGAGGTTTGAAAACCTTTTGATGAACTCTGTGCTTTGAGCACAGCTGGGGTGATTTATGGCTTTGTGATTTCAATCTGTAACAGGCAGAACTTCACTGGGTTGTGCGGCAGTTTTGAATTTTTGAGGTTTCAGATGCAAGTCATTAGCTTTTTCCAGCTCTTCATTTAAATCCTTTAGCAGATACAATTCTTCTTCCAGCTGTTCATTGAGACATTTCAGAGAAATAAAAATGAAGCAAAACAAAGCAACCCCCACAGCCTGCTAAATAAGGTTCAAATAAATAAGTGTCAGTTCTAGTTTCAGTTCAGTTTTACTTATCCACTTTAATGCTGTAGTTTTCAAGTCATATATAGAATTTTTGACAGAAAACAAAGTTAGCAAGATATGAGTTTCTCAAACTAAGTAGGGGTAACCAGGCTGGGCCTTGAAGGGATCGTAACACTTGTTTCTATCAGGGCTTTGCTTGTTTTAAATAGTATATCTCTGTGCAAAGTTAATATAATCTATACTTTGCATATTGCTGCTAATTTGAGTCATGCCAAAGCAAAGAAAGCATGTGAAGCACTGCTTGCATCTGAGCTGGAAGGTTTATTAGTTGTAACTGGACATAGCATGACACTGATTATAACTGGAGGTAGCAGCTGCTTCTCTGATCGTTTGGTAGCTGGAAGACCAAAACAGGTCAATGCTATTAGTCGTTCTTACTTCCCTCGCAATTAATTTGCAATTATTTACAACAAGTCATGGAGAAGCTCAGTGAAATACCTTGTAAGTGCATTGCTACTGTTGATCCAGAAGGCCAAGTGTTACTTTGGGCATGATAACTTAAGGGATGAAATGAGGTGGTCAGAGAAGGTGCATTCTCTCGACTATCAGCATAGTGGTACATTAAGTGTGCCTAGAACCATGCTCTGTCCCTGAGGCCAGCTGTCATGGGGAAGCTTGTGTCTGTGCTAATGAACTCTCACAGCCCATATCCAAAATGGACCATGGAGGGTTTTCATTCAAAAGGATTCCTGGGGATTGCTTGGAAGAGTGCTAGCTGGGCCAGATCAAAACCTTCCCAGAAGCCTTTCTAACAATTTAAAACCAGGTACAATAGCAGTGCTTGGGAACATTCCTGGAAGCATTTTAATGTACAAGTATTGATGTAGTCTCAGTATCTTTCAGGATGGTGGCAACATCTTGTTTTCCACTAGCTCAAATAAAAAATTACTCTAAGAAATTCAGTGTATATTTGCTATATAAGCATGAAATGTTGCATATGCTCCTGTTTCACTGTCAACTTGTATGTGTGTTGGGCACTAATGTCTGTGGATGGCCAAATCTTTCCTGACAGTTTGTCAGCAACCCACTCTGCAATACGAATCTGATGGCCTGATGCAGATGAGACATAAGATCTGTTTTGGCCTGATGCCAAGAGAAATGGCAGGGGAAAAAAGTGTATTTCAGTACACATCATTCTTGAATCAGAAACTGCTAGTTGCAGCACCAAGCATATTTTACAGAAAGCAAAAGTAAATTCATTGTGGTTTTCAGTTTTTACTGCTCAGCAATAAAAACTCTTATTTATGCAATGTTTTTATGGTACAATGGTCTTGAAAATGCAGCTACAATTCATGATTAATGCCATGCATATGCTTACATCGTGGTGGCTTCTCACATTGAGTCAACAAATAAGAATGTTGTTTTCTTGAGAAATAAGTCAGATTTCCATGTGCAGAGCCACTCATGTCACACACTGAACTTTCTCTGTTCACTATACTCAATTTCTCCTGGAGTTTCCTCTTCTGTAACCATCTGACTTGCCATGATTTATATTCAGTGAATATCAGAACCTGTTTTCCCACTTTCTAATTAGAGCAGACATACTTTTTAAAGGTAATCTGGGAACTACTTCAGTATGGTGGTTAAAAACATACCCCGTTGCAAGTTTGAATTTTAAATGAAGAATGTATTTTTATGCCTTAATGAAGTATGACCTTTATATCCATGAAAGCTAATAATACAATATAATTTATCTCATGTTTGTTCCAGGGCACAGTTCGAAAGTGTCTCTTTCAGATATTAGTTTTGAAACTACCTCAGTGCCTAAAGAGTTACCATGTTTTTCTGTTTTCCTTTTTTCAGCTGTGGGACCTACTGCAGAAGTTGCAGTTCATCATGACATACATTGCTCCCTGGCAGATTGCCTGGGGATCATCGTTCCATGTTTTTGCTCAGCTATTTGCAATACCTCATATCCTTTGTAAATTTGTTCTTCTTTATTCTTAAATTCCTCTTCATGTATGTAAGTGTTTGAACAAGGTGCGAAATTCCTAGGTAACTCATTTTAAAATGTGAAAATGCTTAGAACACATTCTAAGAAACAGTTTTCTCTTTTTTTTTTTTTTTTCTTTCCCTGCATAGGATCTGAAACTGGGAAACTGAACTGTGATTCAAACTGGTGTGTTTATCCCTGCTCACTTCCCACCCAACCACATTCTGCAGTTCATTTACTTCCCCAGTCCTCAGTACTGACTTTTGATGTATCCACAAAGAAATGTTGTGACACACACATTGTGAAGTACTGGGCTTATGGCCGACTGAGCTCCCAAATATTAATTCCTTTCTCAATTGCCTCTACTTGGTATCTCAGATACAAATTCATTTCAGTAAGCCATTTTCTGCTGCAACTGTCCTGACTTTTTTTTAAATTTTATTTCAGAAGCAGGGGCGTTTTAACATTTTAATGCAAATTTTTCATTGGGGTGCTGAGAAACATTCTCCTTTTTAACATTTCCACTCTGTTTTATGAGTAACCATACATATTCATCAACACCAAAGCAGTCCTTCAGAAGAAGTCTGTTTTGGTTCTGTTCCAGGGCTGTGAATATTGAATTATGAGTATGGGGAGTAAAACATAGAGTTCAGTGACTCCCAACTGTCCTTATGGTTAGAAAATGTATATTGAATTTTTTGAACAAAATTATTTTAATTCAGACCTACTGAAGAGTTTACTTTGTACTGTTTATTAGACACACTTCAGTCTTTGCCTGTTTCATTCCAGGTTTGGGTTTTTTTCTTCCCTTGAGTGATTTCTTCTCTCTGCTCTTTGCTGTGAAACACGTGCAATGTTGATTAACAATGCTTGGGTTTCTAGATAGGATGAATAAAGAGAGAAAGTGTCAGACAGAAGGAAGTGCACACGGAATAACTCCCAGAGGGAAAGCTTTAAACTATCTACTTACGAAAGGAAAGCATTATAAAAGCAGTGATCTAAGACTTTTAGGTGTTCTGTAGCAAGTCATTCCAGAATTTCACAACAAAAAAATATTTTCATCTCTGTTGAAGGTGTGAGTTGTGGAAGAAGTGTATATGAAGTTATTTAACAAAACTTTTAAGAACTGAGATTATACTTCAACAGTTTCCCTTTGGTCACAAATATTTTGTGCAGGAGTAACTTTTCTCTCAATAAAAGTACCAATTAAGTTTTGCAAAATTGAAAGTAGTTAAACCAGGGTTTAGTTTGTTTATGGAGCTTTTGCCAAGGTGATCTAGCCTAGCTTTCTATTATTTATATTTGTAGTATTCTTTGTAAATGTAAATATGTCTTCTAAAGCAATGTTGCAATTAAATTAAATGGTTAAATGCTGAAGTTACTATTCCCACAGCTACAATAATTCTGCCTCTTTGCACATTATTTTTATTTGTTGTTATCATAACCCTCCAAACAGTAATGATGAATGCACTTTCCAGTTTGCAGAGGCACTAAGCCTACCATTTCTTTGCAGAGTTAATTATTTGTGGCTCTTGATTGCTTCAATCACATCTGCAAACAGGATGTAAATTTTTAAATTTCAAAGTGCCTCAGTGAACTTCTGCTGTAGAGCTCAGTGACTGGAGTATTTCAGCATGCTTTCATGCATTCAATTCCAACATGCAGGGCATGAAGGGCATCATGTGTGGAGATTTCCCTGGTGGAGGTTGTGGAGTTTCCACCATTAGCGATCTTCAGGAATTTAGATGAATGTCTATCAGGAATCATGTAGGTTCAGCTGATCCTGTCTGTGCCTGCTAGATGATCCCTCAAAGTTTCTCTTAATCCCAGAAGACCAGGAATGGGAATGGGCACCTGACTAGAGGAGAGATCTGCAACTTCACTTCCTAGTGTTTGAATGGGTAAGATGAGGTCATGCATATATAAATATCAGCACACTGAGAAAGTCAGTGTAGGCTGTAGTTCAGAGGAGGATTTTACCTAACAAATGAACAGTGAAATGGGGTGAGGGGGGAGAGAGGTACACAGGGTACACAGGTACAATTTGGGACATAGTGCAAAAAAGTATGCCTGTAAGATTTTGGCACTTCTTTCCTGTTTTTTTACTTAGACATAATCAAAGCATTGTTATTGAAAAAAGATTACCTAATAGAAACAAATCGGATACCCTCAAATAAAAAATCCCTGATGACAGATAATTGCCCACTGCACACATCAACTGTACATAAGAGAGTCAGGCTTTACCTTGCTCTTGTGGCACACTTACAGATATGAAATAGTTAGTTAAAATCACTCCTCACAAGTCAAATGGGAAGTGTCTTCCATCATCCATTTAGTAGAGTGTTATGTCTTTCAGGAAAAAAAACCTCTGATACTACTGATTATGTCTTAGACACGAACAGTTCTTACTGGAGTGAAAAATGTCTTAACTTATGATGGTGGCAATTTTTCATGATTAATCATGATACTAGAATGTGCTTTAAAAAAAGCAACTTGCTTTGCTGTCCTTATCTGTCCTCTTTGTTCTCTTTTCCTCTCTTCAGCTCCTATGCCTCCTTCCCTTATCTGACACTTGTAAATACTTGTTCATCTTTCACAGCCAGTGCTGGGTTATGACTACAGTGTAATGTGACAGTTTAACTTTTCTGATGCACTTGCTTTCTGCTCTGTGCTCTCTGTCACTTCTTAAACTTTAGACTCTGAGGGCAGATCACTTTTCAAACTCTCTAATGCACAAAGACACCATTCCAGACCATTCTCTTTTAGTAAGTTTGAGGGATTTGAGAGATATCTTTTGGCCAGCGTTTGTTTTTAGATTTTGCAAATAGCTTTGAAAGCATGGCTAGCTAGCCTTTGTGTGGAAATGCTTTACTGAGAATTATGCTACATGGGTTAAAATGGTTTTTGTGAGGTCTCAGAGACTGTGGGAGACACATACAGTGTATTGCTATAAGAAGTAGACTGAAAGACTGGTTATTGGGTGATTTGACCTGAAATTTAGTTTGAGATGCATTTGATCACTGTACCTGGATAGTGGTTCCTTAGTTCATGGCTTCTTTACTTTGCACCTTCATCCCAAGAGAGATGTAAGGAAGGTCAACTGATCTCTTATGCCAACTTGGAGGTCTCTTTCCTTGGATTTAATGGATGTGGTATAAATTAATGAAGAATTTAAACCTAACATATTTGCTTGCATTTATTTCATCATGTTTCTTTTGATTTGCGTCTTTTTCAGTATCCTTATCCATCTCTAACTTGCTTTTCATCACTCTGAAATACAACCTTACATTTAAAGTAAGCTGTGGATTGAGGCACTCATTGTGATGTTTATGTGTGATATGTACTGTTCCCCTGTCCTCATCTTCTCATTTCATATGTATTTCAAAAAGTATGAAATGCTGAACACATTCTGCCTGTTGCTCAGCGTGGATAATAAATTGTCAGTAACAATTAACATAAAAGCATGACTTTAAACCAGCAGGTTGGATTATGGAGGCGTAGTTTCTCCACGTACTAGGTCATTCTAAAACAAGCAGAAACTCACAGAATGGAACACTGGACACAGTGAGACCAAGACTCCAATGCAGAGAACAAAGAATTTCCAAGAAAGTGATTTTTTGGTTTTGTGGGGGCGGGGAGGTTAACTCTGTGTCAGACTCTGGAAAGGCACTCCTGTGTTATAGAAGGTACACTAGGTAGCTGGGAAAGGGCACTTAACTGCACTGCTTTTGCTCAGGATCTGTCCTGAGGCAGAGCTTAGGCAGGGACACCCTGATAATAATGTACTCTGTTCAGACATGTCAGCTCTGTCACAACTGTGTAGCATTGAAGAGCTACAGATTACATGCTGGTAATGGGTAATTTGGCACTGCCTGCCTTCATTTCCTTTACTTACCACCTGTTTGGTAAAATAAACAACAACAACAGCAAAAAAAAACACAGTTGAAAGAGTGTTTTCAAATATAGTGAAATCATTTGTGTTACCTTAACTTGCAATTTTCAGACTCTGCTATGCTTTTTTTTCAAACTCTGGCCACTTCAGTCTTTTCTACACCACTGAGTCCATTTCTGGGAAGTGTCATCTTTATTGCATCGTATGCAAGACCAATCAAGTTCTGGGAGAAAAATTACAAGTAAGACTATCTAAAATTTTCTACACTTGTTGATTTTAAAGATTTTGCTCTCATTAGTTTCATTTCTGGAGGCATTACTATTTCATGGTTATTTGTGTATTTCTGAAAATGTATGTAAGCAAAAATTGGTTTGTTACAGATGAGGTGTCATGTTGCATCTGTCGCACAGGCATACAGTAACGGGGCTGTGAAAAAAGAATTAGTAAAACTCTCAGTTGTCAGTTAGCTAGTGTTAGCAACTAAATCTGTGAAGCCTTTGGCACAAGGATTCATACTGCATGAATATATTTTTATACTAACTAGCCTGATTAAATGTTACCCTTTGGGATGGGGCAGGTAACTCCTGCAGCATAGTGATGGTGGTTGTGCGTAGTCATTAATTGTTATGTCCAATCTTGGAGCTCGACTCAAGAATTGATTATCAGATTTTAGCTGCCGTTCATTTAGTTTAAGAAGGACATAAAGACTGAGTAACTTCTGCCTCTTCTGCCCAGTAGGATTTGAAAGCTCTCTGTAACTGGGACCTAATGGGCTCCCAAGAAGAGTACTGGAGAGAGGGAGCCCTTCCTTTTCCAGGTAGAGGTAGTTTTTGCAAGGGATGAGCATCTGCAATGTTAGTGGCTGGATTCAGTGAGTGGACAGGGTGAGTCCTCTGAATCCTGTGCTCTGGGCAGTGCGTGAGCTCTTCACCCCCTACTAACACGTAGGCAGGCTCAGAGTAACTTATTGCAGCTACAGAACAGTGACATGAGACACAAAGTGAAAATTATATAACTAGAAATTCCAGTGATTGATTTTCCATCTTTTAGGGAAAAGGACCTGTTTAATTTGAAGAGTTTTATTTTGTTTGATTCTGAGTTGTGTCAAGTGAGTAAATATGTACTCATCTATAAAGAAATTAGTCAGAGCCAAGTCATATGGAGAGGCTTTGTATTTGTTTCTAAATACGATGAGATTTGTGGAAATCTTTCAAAGGGAGCTGAGTTTTGTTCACTGGGGCCAGATTTTAACAAAATTTTCTCTCACACATCTTTTTTTATTGGGTAAACATGTTAATTATTTCAAGGGAGTGAAGTTGAGGGCAGTTACGGAAAGGCAGGAAGCTACCACTAATCCCAGACAGCTTTACATTTTTGGACGAAAACTTTGAATAGTATAAAGTAGGAAGTGGGGATTTTAACGTCTGCTACACTTTAATTCAACCAGAGCACTTTGAAGGCCTTTGGTTTCTTTTCTAGGTAACAAATAGAAAATCAAACTAAGTTGTAGGCACATGAATTCCATATAGCTACGTTAGTGTTGAGTCTCTAGGTTATTGTAGAAGGAAACAGAGGGGATCATTTGTATTTGCTTTTGGTTTGTCTAATCTTTTGGTACAAAATGAACAGGAGATACTCAAAGGAAATATCAAAAAATGGTTGATGCTTGATACTTTAATAAGAGTGGGGGATGGAGTGAGGTGGGTGTTGGTGTCTTGTTTTCATCAGTAGCAACCATCTGCGATTCTCTGTAAGTGAAGTGAAGAAGTTGGTGCTAATAAACTTGGAAAGCAAGGTAATTATTTTATGCATAAACTGTAAAACCCCAAGTGCAAAAAAATCAAACCATTTTAATACTTTAATCCACCACTGCTTGTCCTCGCAAAATAAACAATAACTACGACTTTGAATTCAACATGAAGGCTTAAGTTACTCTTTGTAAAAAATCATGCTTTGTTGTTTGTTAGAAATTCTAGTGTATCTTTTAGGATCTCACTTAAAGCCCACAATCTTACATGTTAAAAACCTTTCAGGAGTAGAAAACAGCCTTGTAGATTATTCAGATTGTCAAAGTGAAATAAATGTTTGCCTGAACCTGTGGCATCCCACAATATGCACGTATAATGATGACTCCTAAATTTGTATTAATTTTGTCTCTAGCACTTCTGATTCTCCTTTGCCTTGCTTCCATTTCAGTACTTCATTGCTCACATGAGAAAATAACCAGAGTGAGTGAGAGTGGGACTGAAAACCTCTTGATTCATTAGAAGGACACAGTGAAAAGACAGAAAAAATCAAGGGGAGGGAGTGATTTTTTATTAAGAATAATGACATTTTCTACAAAATACTTAAAATAGTTGAATAGAGTAGGCGTTGCCGTACTGCTTTGAATCTTGACCTTTCAGCATCTAAAAAGTCAAAAGGATGGCATAATTGCTTTCTTTTGGAGCTGTGTAGTTAAATAGGATCAGGAACTTGAGCTGGAATGGAAAGTTGTTCTGGCTCCTGCACTGTCTTTGGGCTGCAATCCGTTATAGCCAGATGTGCACTGAATTTTAAGGTCATCTAAGACAGAACAAACAGATGGGAAAGCTGATGTACAGATTTCCTTTTTGGAGTGCCTTGACAGTTAGTTTTCCCAAGTTCAGCTCAAGGTATTCATGGGAAGTCACAGGTATGGGATAAGCTTATACGAAACAGAAGCTCTCAATTTTTTTTTTTTTTATTTTGCTGTTTCCATAGTCGGGACAGGAACTTTTGCTCAGAGGAAAGCTACCTTCAATGTAATTTATATAGCTTTTTTGTTTTGCCTGCTTTGCATCCTCATTTTCAAACACTTCCTTGCTTGTTTACATTTATATGAAGTTAGATTTTGTCAATTCCAGGGTTATATTTTTTATAATTTAATAAAAATTTTAAAAGTGCTCCATCTATTCCTTTAAGTGTTGGTTTGGTTGTCTCTATCTGGTGTTTTCTGAGTGCATACATACATATCTTGCATTTCCAGTGTTTCTTTTAGTCCTACTTTTTCTGCTGGCTGAAGAGGACTTTGAGTCCTCAGGTTTCTGACTGGGCTTCTGCCACTCTAGATGATGTAAGCTGGAGCTGAAAGTCTTAGAGAATTAAGGTGATGGCTTGTTTGTCTTTTCAAGGAGATGGAGGAACTCAAGTGGGTAAAAAAAGAAAAAGAGATTAATTTTGATAGTAAGCAAACTGTGAAATTCCTAACAAGCTCTTCAAAATTCAGGAATCATACTGTGCGTGTTTGTGCTCTTGCAGTGTGTGCACAGAGCATGGGTGTTCTTCCCTGCAATCAGCAGATGCTGTTTGTTTTTACTGTGCACTTTGGTACTCGCTGCATGCAGAGTCTAGCACACTAATACATCACTGAGGTCAGGGATCTTTTTGGGGCTAAAAGGAAGGGTGATTTTAAAAAGGAATAAAAATAAGGGAGGTAAGAAAAACAACTTCTCATGCAATCACAATTTTACAACTTCTGCTGCCATTGTTGAAAAGAGAGGGGTGTAAAATCTGAAAGTTTGTCTGCTCCTCATGAACTGATCACCTTGTGGGAGTTAACTATGAGAAATTTTCTTTCTCTCTATTTTTGTGGTCGTTTAGTTTTTATTTGTTGGTTTTGGTTTTTTGTTTTGGATGGTTGGTTTTGGTTTTTAGTTGTTGATTTGGTTTGGTGTGGGTTTTTTTAAAGATTGGTGCAACACTGCTGTTAGCCTGGGTCCTTCTTCTCAGTTTGAAGAGTGCTGTTTTAGTCTTTATTTTCGCAGCTGTTGGAATGATTAGGCTATAGATGTCAGAGAGAGAAAAGGAAATAGCAGTAAATCTTTTTTAATGTATAGGCACTTTAAAGCATAAAGTGTTTGTTTAAACTCTGTTGTTCAATTCCCCTGCTTTGCTCTTTTTCCTCGGATACTTTGTCGTGCTGCAGCCTGACTCTGTCCTTCTCCTCCCTTCCTCTTATCTTGCTTTGTATCTTAGATATGACAATGGACAGAACAGAGTAGGAAGTTTACTTTCATTCCCCAGTGGGTCTAATTGCTGGATCACGTCAAGCAGCTTGTTCTCTGCTGCAGCTGTGACTTGTCCCCACAAACAGCAAACTGCCACCAGGAGTCTGGAGATTTGGCTGTTTACAAGCTGCTCATCTCTCCTGCACCTTCCTGTTTCTATTCTTCTGGTTCAGTGCCTATTTTTGGGTAAGGCACAGCTTGCATTTGCTTTGAAGCGTAGTGAGTGAATTACAGTGCGGTGTAACTGAATTAATTAGGTGTCTCTAAAGAGGCTGCAATTAAATTGCCAGTTATCTCAGACTGGCATTACAGGATGCCTCTCTGTGTTTGAGACTGTGAGCAAGCCTTTCTTTTTTCCATATTTTTAAAACGTTTATCACTGTGCTATTGTTCCAGTTGTTGTGGTCTGGAAAATAACCACCTGTAAGGTTAATACAGCTGGGAATTGAGGGTGAGGAAAACCTGCCCTGCTTCAGATGTAGTGCAGATGGCTTTTTCTCTTTTCCTACCAGCTCACTTAACCTGCCCTTTGTGAACAGCATGCACGTGGAATGGGAAGAGGTTTTCCCAGTGTACATATAATTTGGGTAGACCTCACATTATGCACGTGTGTGGGAAAAGGAGCTGGGAAAAGTACCTGTCTGCTCCCTCCCTTTTTCACGTCACATGTGTGAAAAAAAGGAGCTGAGAAAAGTACCTGTCTGCTCCCTTCCTTTTTCACTTAAAATAACAGGCCCTCCACTTATTTTTAACACCACTCTAGTGCATCTGGTTTCCCTGTGAGCTTGTTCATCTGTTACAGCTGTTAAAACCCCTGCTCTGAACACAAAACATCATTCACCCATAACTGTCCTTGGGCCTTGTTTGGGTTCTGCACACTCAGACCTTTCAAGTTGTTCTTTTTAGGACTGGATTTCTTCTTTTTAGTCTCTTCTTGCTGTGTTGTTTGACTTTTCACATGTTCTTAGACCTCCATAGCAGTGATGTTTACAGAGGAACAACTGCAGCTATGTTTATAGTTCAGTAATGGCTTGGACATTGATTTATAATGAATACTTTCAAAAAAGGTACATGAACCTCTGAAGACAACATTTATAGCAAAGCCTCAGTATAAGAGAACCTTTTTTGTCCCTAGTTGACAGGAGATACTGTTTGCCTTTTTCCCTCAAATATCAGTTCAGAAACATTATGTTCTGACTATTTTCACTGCCCT